TCTGAATATACTGGACAATATTGGGGAAATTTAAATAAATCTGCCCTATAATTCTAAATAATAGATGTTATACTTGTTGCGAAAGCAGTAATAAATTAGGTGAAACTATTCAGAAAAGACAAGAGTACAATAATTGATATATTTTTTTATTCTTGATAGGTTAATAAGTCACTCGCTAGATATCTCGTTCTTTATAGATCTGTGTAAAACTTTTAATATTGTGAATAGAAATCAAATATTGTAAAAACTTAATTCAATCGGAGTAAGTTCTAAAATGTTGACTATAATCAAATCGATGTACAGTAAAGTGAGTAGTTGTTTTGTTAAGTTTAAAGAGGTATATTATCTTCAACATTTTCAAGTTTTTCAGGAGTTAAACAAGGCGAATCACTATTCCAACTTTTATTTTTAATATTTATAAACGATTTAAGAGGTTTCTTTTCAGTATAATACAAATTTTATACACCTAGAAAATAGTATATATTCATTACTTTTTGCTGAGAATACTTTAGGAATATTTGTCAAATCTGGAATCTAGAAAATAAATGCTATGAAAATCAAAGTAGCTATCTTTCACCGTGATACACTACCAATAAACTATAATTAACCGTAAAATATTGAACAAAAATAATTAATATCTTAATCTATACAATATTCTATATAATGATACTCTAAATTGGGTAGCCAAAATAAAATTTCCTTTAAATAATGGGTGGGTTAAGTAATTTTGGGATTAATAAGATGCTTTTGACGTATTAATATTATGAAAAATACAACTTTTTTTTGGGTGCAGTACCCAACTAGCATTCGTAGTGAATAGCTTCATGTGTCCTGTGTAGGTATTCGTATCCTTTTATTGTCTTTTTTGGTTGGGTTTAGTGTTGTTTATATGGACGATATGAGTTTGCAATAAAGGGGTGAAGTTATATACACGTATTTTAAAAGTCTATATATTTAATTTACAAAGCATAAAATTCATAATTTGGCCACAGCAACCTTTTAGCGTCGTCTGTAATAAGAATCAAAGTTTATATGCGAAGTTATGCTAATTAAACACAATAACGTTACTGTAATCAGGGTACCTTTAGACCTTTCCCGTATTGCAGCTTGTATGCTGCAGCTCATATAACATGCCTTCATAGACTAGCGTCGAGTCACACCTAGAAGTGTTGTCGACTGTGCTGAACACAATTAAATACTTTTATATACACACCACGATGACAGCAGCGTTAACAAGCAAAAACGATAAGGTGTTTTATTTATATTAGTCTCGTATTCATGAGCCCAGTCGGTGCAAAGAAGTTTGACGTTGAATCCATTTTCATTTATTGCAATTCAGTATAATAACTAATGGGACTTGCAACGCGTAAGTGACCATTAACATTCAAAAGTACACGAGCACAGAGCAGACAAGGGTTTATAATGTTCACGTTTTTAATCTCTCATCTCGTATCACTTGTTTTCGAGAAGGGTTGAGTTTTACATTACAATTAAGTAAGTTCATCCTGTTAATTTTGAAATTATATTCATATGAATCCACCAATATGTAACAAAGCGGCATATCAACAGGTATTTATATGCCCTCCTTCTAGACACTTATCGCATGGTTGATTAATTGTGCCTTTGTTTTTATTAAAACATTTCGAAGATAGACGTCCCACGAATATATTTCTAAAACTATCACCAATTTTGATACCCTCTTCGGGGAGTAATGAAATGAAATAAAATGGGATTTAGTGTCCTACGGTTCTGCTTCGACTGGAATAATGATGACGGGCGTACGCCATACATTGTGCTACGAGGGAAATTGAATGCTAACTGTTACGTGCACGCCAATGTTTACACAGAAACTCGGTGTCGTACCATCCGAGCGACTAGACAGCTGTTCTTGTCCGGCCCTCCATCTTGCATCACTGACCAGGGGGCTTTGGGGAGAAGCAGCTCGCAATTTTATCTTTCATTTTTAAGTTTGCAAGACGAGGGGGGGGGGGAACATTACCTTATTTGGTCTACCAACCATGGATATTTTCACAATGGTTAGAATTTTACCAAAATATCACTGGTTTTTTTACATATAAACATGTCGTCGGCTTTTATTAGTACCTGGGTCTTTGACTTTATAGAAAGAGTGAAGCAACAGTTTTTCAAAGACCTAATATTGTCTTAAGGACCAAAGTCTTACACCCTTTCCTATTTCCAGTATAATATAATAACATCATGTAATAGCTAAATCCTCCTATTGCAGGTCTTTCGCTGAGCCTTAAATGTTATATCAATTATTAATTATGGATTGGGGAGGGGGGCTATTTATTTACGTTTCTAACTTTCGTATTATCAAAATGAACGTCTGGGTGGGTTGAATTTTCCCTAGTGAAAATAATATTTTTAGTTTTTTTGACGGGGGTTAAAAGTTACACACCACTGTTTAGCCCGTGATGAAACCATAGTAATAATGATAAACAGTGTCATCGGCCAATTATTATCGGGGATATCATTTAAATCAATTAAAATTAAAAAAGGACCCAGTACGCATCCTTGGTGCACTCCAGAAACAGCATGCTAATAATTTGATTCGAAACCTTCTAAAACTATGCACTGTCTATTACTGAAACAATGTTCAATATTTTTACATAGTATTTTATTAATTCCACATTGTTTCGATAAGTATTCTTTTATGATATCAATCATTGTGCTTGATACCAATACGGGGATACTTATCGAAACGTCGTGCTTGTGTAAAATAAATCAGTGGTTGTTGTTACATATAACTGTGTTAGTTTTATGTTTCAAATTGCTAAATGCCACTAAAGGATAATGGATGGGATTATTAGTTTTAAGGGTCGCTTGTGTGTTCTATATCTTCGTCGACTTTTTATTTATACGTGTGGCTTATCATTTGGTTTTATTGTTACTACTTGTGTTGGGATATACTGTAATATTTCATTTAAATCGCCTAAAAAAACTTTGATACATTTGATTAATATCATGATTTTTTAAAACATTATTTAAACCTTCAATACTCTCAGCAGGTTTATAATTTCTATATTAATTGTATGATTTATATTTAAAGATAAGATTTTTGGTGAATGTACATTATTTAAACCTTCAATACTCTCAGCAGGTTTATAATTTATATATTAATTGTATGATTTATATTTAAAGATAAGATTTTTGGTGAATGTACAGCATTAACATTAGTGTCTGATTTAAGTGATATCTTATTATGCCCCGTCACACCGGACTGGCGTCCTTAGTGCGCTGCTGCGACCGTACGGCGACCAGAAAATGCACAATGTCACCGGCAAAGGTTAACACAACGCGAGAAAATGTCCCATAAAATTACAAACTTGAAAAACGTCGCTATCTCACAGCTTTCCAGGTCAGATCGCAGAACCTTGGTGTTTGTTTTGAACATGCAAGAAAACATTTAGACACAGAGTTAAGTTATGTTGAAGTAGAAAATGCCTCTATAAAAATTATTTTTAAATGATGCACTTCAAATTTGTGAAACTGGTCGATCACTGTCACTGAGAAGGATGACATCGGGGCAAGTTATTTAGCTCTCAATATTGACTTTTTTCTTCTAAAAATTAAATTGTACAAAAAAACAAAAATAAAGATGTTGGAAGTGTATCTGAATAAAAAAATATTTCCTATTAAGTGTCAATAAGTACATAGGCGTATTACGACGTCCGATGTAAATAACGCACCTGTTATCAACGTGAGCTATAATGGGCGTGACCTAGAACATACATAAATGAAAATTATTTTTTTAATGATACATTGTAGACACGTGCTGCTGACGTAGAATGTGGTACTGAATGTCAACGTACCAAGCTGTACAAGAGAAATAATATGGTTACACGATGCCTTTTTTTATCAAACATTTTTGGCAATTAAAATATTTCAGTTGACGGGAAAAAATATCAACTTTTTATATATAAAAATTATGATCCATTTTTGTGGAAACAATCCAAAGACAGCGTGAGACGTGGAAGTAATTAATCTCAATATATCCATAAAATTATTTTCACAAATGATAAAATGTTCCCTCTGTTCATTTGCTATCGGCATTGTAAATGTACAAACCATCCGATATTCCGTCTTCATTCAGTTGACATTAAAATTCATATCATGTAAGCCCTTTACCAAACTGTTGATAGCCATGTTAGATATGCAATTTTATTATTGGTATATTCCTCTATGTTAGATGCTTGTTATCGACACAGCTATAATTTACCTAACTTCTCCTTGGGATATGAGGGAGGTGGATGGCCGAATGGTTAACGTGTGCACGCTGTATCATAAAGTCTGTCATTGAGTCAACTGGCGTGGTTTCGATTCCCCGGTGCACTGACAAGCATTAGGGTCGCCTGTCCAACCCCGTGGGTTTTCTCCGTGTCCTCCGGTTTCCTCCCACTGCTAAAGGCCCCCACGCACAAGCGAATTATTGAAATAAAATTTAACTATGTGTTAATCCCGAAATGACCTCGTTTTTGTCGAGTCGACGCTAAATCCCATTTCTCTCTCTCTCCCTCCTTGGGATACTGGGATATCCAGCTTACACACTCCAAAGGTAAACAAATATGAAGAGCCCCCCCCCCTCACATACACGCACACCAACCTTCCATTTGTTTTCGTAAATTATATGTTATTTAATTTTTAATATTTGTTGTCAACAGAAAGTACATTGACGATAAATATACAATTAACATTTTGTTTATATTCTTGTGTATACATAGCAACCACCAAAGAATAGCAATATGAAATAATTAAATTGAAATATAACAATTTTTGGATCTTCGCTTCCTCTTACATGTTTTCAAGAATGCCAAATTAAATAGTCCTTCTGATCTAGGATTTCCAATCTTGAGGCTTTAAAATTGCTCACATGGTGTCCGTTGAGCTTTTAAATAAATATTTGTAGGGCGGTCCATGTGAACTGATCTAAATCATAATTTAGGCAATGTAGTAATTATCAAATAGTTAATGAAACATACCTCCAAATAAAAACCAGCCCCATGGATACTGTATACTGCTAAACATGACGCGAGAGGTTTCCTAAATATGTAACTTAAAAAAATGATCGCCTATATTGTAGCCTGATTTTTGAGCATACAACCAAATGAATTTTTTATGCGATGAGAAAACTACAGCAATCCATTGACTGATGTGTTCCAAAATAGAATTTATTTGCAATCTTCAAGCTTTATTGTTATGAAATGTCAAATTATACAAATAGGTCAACTCCAAATAAAGCTTGGGGAAACGTTAAAGAATGTCAAAATAAAAGTGACTTTTCTTTTTTATGGCGTTCCATGTTTGATACCAATATTTATCTTAAACAAGAAATCTAATATGATGCCTGTTGCCTGGTATATCAACGCGACCATAATGCATGCGTTATCCGAACTCGTGTTCGCTGGTCTAAAATGTACAACATTTAAAGCAATGCTACCTTTTGAATGTTTACACGCAATAGTCATGACCACGCTATAGTCTAATAGGGGTTTCCTCCCACTTGAAATAATCTAGTTGAGTCGAGTGGACGTTAAACCCATATCTCTCTTTCTCTCTCTAGAGTCGAGTGGACATCAAAACCCATCTCTCCCCCCCCTCTCTGAGTCAATGTGTTAGTCCCAAAATGACCTAGTATGTGACGAGTGGACTTTAACCCCCCCCCCTCTCTCCCTCATAGTGTGAGCTGCTGTATACCATAAATTCTCTCGTGACAGGCCTCTAATGGAGTCATCTGCTGTCAACTAATTGTCTTAATTTAATTAATCCTGTCTGTTCCAAGTTTAAAGGGCGTATGGCTTTATTTTTTGGAACTATAAATGAGTCGAAAAACACATATTAATGTATAATGCGTGTATAAAGAGTGATTTATATTCATTTTTTTTTTAAAATTTGTAATTTCTAATCAATTATGTTCGGTGAAATACGGGAACAGTCCAAAGTGAACGCCCCCCCCCCCCCCAACGTTTTTTTAATTATTTTATCATTTATGAATCAGCCATTACTATATTTACTGTCGCATTGTAATTCTTCTTTATTCATTGATTTTTCGTCCGGAGCGATCGTGTACCATATTTTAAAACGTTCATTGTGCACTAAATATTGGATATTAGGACCCCACAATTTTACGGCTATATAACAACATCATATTGGATTGAAATGGGCCAATATTGAATTCTCATTTGTGTTTTTAATTTTGAATATTATGGAAAATATTGAGTTAGAGACTTAGCTCCTTTAAATCAAGGGGGGTTGGATGGCTGAATGGTTAGCGTGCGCGCGTTGTATCATAAAGTCTGTCATTGAGTCGACTGGCGTGGTTTCGAATCCCCGGTTGTACGTGACAAGGAGTAGGGTCGCCTGTCCAACCTCGTGGGTTTTCTCCGGGTCCTCCGGTTTCCTCCCACTGCTAAAGACCCCTACGCGCAAGCGAATTATTGAAATAAAATTAAAAACCATGTCGAGTGGACGCTAAACCCCATTTCTCTCTCTCTATCCCTTTAAATCAAGTTTATATTCATATTTATAGTTTTGTGGTTGATTTTCTCAGAAACTATCAATTCGTGTTCAGAACAATTTTATTGTAAGTGCGTTTTTAATTGTGGTTGGTAGGTAGTTTCAGATTTCTAGATATTTGAGTGAAGGGGTAATTTCTAAGATCTTGATTTATGGAGTTGTGTGCTCGACTGGCGGAATCATTAAGGGGGTTTAAAAAGTTAGCAACATTTTGATCATATTTTTCCAATGTTTCCATTAAAGGTTGTCATTGGTACTGATATAATGATTATGTTTATATTCGACATTATATGATTTCATATTCATGAAAATATCCCATGTAAAGGTGTTTATGAAAGCTAGACAAAGTAAAAAGTAAATTATATTAGTTCTGAAACTAAATATCAAAAAATATTTCCTTAAAAAGAAAATGTCATATTGAATTGAATCAAAAGAGTAATAAAAAACAGAGTAGTTATGACCTATCACACGATCTCAAAATTACACCTTTTGAATAATAATGACTCGTTTATAAAGGACATTTTTTATACGTTACTTGTAATTCTCATCTGGTAATAGGCCTACTACATAATGTATAATGCATTCTGAAACTAGATCTTTTGTATTCCCTCATAACAGATACATAAATGATATTTTACTGTAAATTGATAAGAAGATTATTTTTTTAGGTTTATTAGATTTATCTGCCGGTGGATCCTTCTTTCGTTTACGTAAACTTGTAGTTATTGCTCTGCATTTGGGTAGAAAACAGTGTATTTAGTAAATTAATTGTAAATCGTCGTCTGCATCTGCTTTGTCATCATCTGGGCTTCCTCAAGGTTTTGTTCTTGGTCCGAGTTTTGATACTCTTTATTCGTCACCATTAGGCGATAAGGTGAGAAACTGTTGGTTGCATATGATACTCAGTTATATATATTTTTTATACACCTAATTGGTAATCTTCTTTCGATTTATCAAAACTATAATTAGTAAAATAAGAAAATGGATGCCAAAAAAAAAACTTTTTAAATTTTAATGATGATAAAACCGAATATTTGTTAATGGGCCCATGGCAGAAATCAATATAATGAATGATTGAAAATTAGTCCGAAATAAATTTTCTAAAAGTATAAACACTTTTCTAAAATATATGGAGGTGTGCGTTTATCAACAGCCTATTTAATTGGCATAGACATCAGTTTTTAAAGTATTCGAAAGTGTGTATGAAAAACGTTCTGAAGTACATCCTCGATAAATATGATGAATCTATATCCAATGGCGAAATATTCTTTGCAGTTATTTTGTTATTATCATTATGAACATTTTATAGCACACAATTCACGAAGTGCTCAAATGCGCTTTACAAAAAAGTATAACATTTGTAGTTTATTAATTAAAACATCTTGGATTCCTGCTAAAAGCGAGTTACAATTATCTAATCTTGATGTTACTAGGGAGTTTACGACAGTTTTAATGGCATCGATAGTGAGAGTTTACTAATGTTTCTTAGATCGTAATAACAGGGTTTACAGATATTGTTAATTTGAGCATTCATGGACATTTGTAATATGCTTGAGGATGCATCTTGCGTTTTGATTGGTTAATCAGACACTGTCGATTGGATAATAACACCCCTCTGTTTTAGTAAGGCGTATAAATATTACAGTGGACTTTTTTTCATTTTTGTGCTGGCTGATCTTCCTTAACTCAAATCTTTATGGATAAATATCTTCAAAGATTCTACCCCAATGACCATCACACTATTTTCAAACTTCATTCTGTATCCAAACAAATCTCTGAAATACATAAAACAGTAGAATATCAGTCATAAATTCATGAAAACCGTTTTCAGGCATCATAAATTATTCGTAACTAAGAAGTGCACATGGTCAATTTTGTTATCCTTCTTTTTTATACGCCCACATTTTCATGTGGACGTATATTGTCGTCGCCCCTGTCCGTCCGTCCACAATTGTTTGTGAACAGTCTACAGGTCACAATTTTTATCTGATTCTAATGAAACTTGAAATATAGGTTTATCACCCTAAGATCTCGGATCCTTTCGATATTGGCATGTATCGGACCGTAACTTCATGGATTATGACCCCTGATTGTACGAAAAATCACGTTTTTAGCTTGTGAACACTGTAGAGGTCACAATTTTATCCGATTTGGTTTAAACTTGAAATGTATGCTTATAACCCAAAGATCTCGGTTCCGTTCGATATTCCTGCATATCGGAACGTCACTTCCTGAATTATGGCCCCTGATTGTACGAAAAATCACGTTTTTAGCTTGTGGACCCTATAGAGGTCATAATTTTTATCCGATTTAAAAAAAACGTATTATTATATCACCGTTACACCCTAAGGACGATTGAGTTTGAATTTCGTGAACATCGGCCCAAAACTGACAGACAAAATGGCCGCCGTTCGTTCTCAAATAGCGTAAAAATATGGTATATCAAGGTTGTGGACCCTATAGAGGTCACAATGTTTGAAATGTAAGTTCATAACCCAACGATCTCGGTTCCTTTCGATATTCGTGCATATCGGACCGTACCTTCCTGAATTATGCCCCCTGATTGTACGAAAAATCGCGTTTTTAGCTTGTGGACCCTATAGAGGTCATAATTTTTATCCGATTTAAAAAAAACGTATTATTATATCACCGTTACATCCTAAGGACGACTGAGTTCGAATTTTGTGAAAATCGGCCCAAAACTGACAGACAAAATGGCCGCCGTCCGTTCTCAAAGAGCGTAAAAATATGGTATATCAAGGTTGTGGACCCTATAGAGGTCATAATTTTGATCCGATTTTGTTGAAACTTGAAATGTAAGTTTCATAACCCAAAGATCTCGGTTCCTGTCGATATTCGCGCATATCGGACCGTAACTTCCTGAATTATGGCCCCTCATTGTACGAAAAATCGCGTTTTTAGCTTGTGGACCCTATAGAGGTCATAATTTTTATCCGATTTAAAAAAAAAAAATTATTATATCACCGTTACACCGTAATTTCGTGAAAATCGGCCCAAAACTGACAGACAAAATTGGACGCCGTTCGTTTTCAAATAGCGTAAAAATATGGTATATCAAGGTTGTGGACCCTACAGAGCTCACAATTTTTATCTGATTTTGTTGAAACTTTAAATGTAAGTTTATAACCCAAAGATCTCGGATCGTAACTTACTGAATTATGGCCCCTGATTATACGAAAAATCACGTTTTTAGCTTGTGGACCCTATAGAGGTCATAATTTTTATCCGATTTAAAAAAAAACGTATTATTATATCACCGTGACACCCTAAGGACGGCTGAGTTCGAATTTCGTGAAAATTGGCCCAAAACTGACAGACAAAATGGCCGCCCCTCGTTCTCAAATTACGTAAAAATATGGTATATCAAGGTTGTGGACCCTATAGAGGTCACAATTTTTATCCGATTTTGTTGAAACTTGAAATGTAAGTTTATAACCCAAAGATCTCGGTTCCTTTCGATATTTGCGCATATAGAATTGTAATTTCCTGAATTATGCTCTTGATTATAGGAAAAATCACTTTCGTCTTAGCTTGTTTTCTATCCATCTCTAGAAAATGTGGGCGTATCCTGTCTGGCAGCCGCTGGTTATTTTTTTGCACTTAACAATGTTTATCTACTTTAAAGTGGAAATCAAAGTTTGATCAAATTCTGAATAACATGAACCGCCTAATAGTCACGAGAAATCGTTTGAAAATATAGTAAGGGGGGCGAAATAGCAGCTGAGATGGGCCTAGAGTAACAGAAAATTATGCCAAAATTGACAACACGTCAGAACGATATACATAGCAACCACTAGAATCCTAGGCATCACATAGTTTTATAAGGTATTTTGAGGGATGTAAGCAAGAACTGCTCTTCACTGAACAAGAACTAGCAATAAAAAAAAATTGTATTGACGATTTGCAAATAAAATAATAAAGGGAGAGAGAGAGAGAAATGGGGTTTAACGTCCACTCGAAACAAACTAGGTCATTTCGGGACTAACATATGGTTTAATTTAATTTCAATAATTCGCTTCCGCATAGGGGTCTTTAGCAGTGGGGGGAAACCGGAGGACCCGGAGAAAACCCACGAGGTTGGACAGGCGACCCTACTCCTTGTCACGTACAACCGGGGATTCGAAACCACGCCAGTCGACTCAATGACAGACTTTATGATACAGCGCGCGCACGCTAACCATTCAGCCATCCAACCCCCCCTAAATAATAAAGGCTAAAAACTCACCCAAGTTACTAAAAACTTCGAAAGCGTAGCCATCATTGTTGCCAAGGTCACCCTTGTGTAGTCTCGGTTTGCAGGCCGTAACTATTTGAATGACGGTTGGCATTAGGCCTGCCGGTGAAAACAACACAGCACTAACACTAATTTACTAATATTTTTAAAAATCTTCAAACGTTAAAAATATATTATTGGAAAAATCCGAATAACATTTTCCTTCCTGATTTATTTACCAGCGACCCGAGCATTTTAAAATTGAATTGATCTTCTCATGGATTCGACCTCTAATTCGGTACATCTCGGCATAAACCGTAGTACCGAGGTTAACCGATTGCTGATCTCTGAAGAATGTGTAGTCGCCATCGTCGCGGCGGTCGAAGAAGAAAGGCTAGCTCGCGCTCTGCTAACCGATTTGCAGTTTCACGAAGTTTGAATTTAACACAATATAATAAGTTCTTTTAAAATCCTAAAAAATAGCATGTTACAATGTCGATAAACACCCCCTGTTTCGCATTTAGAGGGGTGTTATTGTCCAATAGACATGTCCTGAGAATTTACATTAGAACCCGCGACGCTAACGTGGCTTGGGTCCTAATGATCTATACTGAGCGCCATGGAAAACGCATCACTTTTTTTCCCAAATATTTTATTACTAGGTGGTTTTATATGTATAATATTATGCAATACTATGAACTATTGTTTCATACAATGCTCTCAAACGCAAAAAATATCGGCCCGTGTGCAAAAAAAGCATGTTTTCAACTTAATGTGAAGTACATGAACTGTGGAACGTCAATTTGTCGTAATTTGTTGTTGGACGTGTGAAGGAATCGAGCTAGAGATGCCGAGACTTACTGAAAATCAACGGAAAGGAGCCATGGGAATGTCAAGGGCTGGCATGTCTACACGTGCTATTGCCAGACACTTCAATTGTCATCAGTCCACTATTGTAAGGTTGGTGGAACGTGTTCGAGTTACTGGATCAACACGTGACCGTCAACGTCCTGGTCCACAACCCAGGCTCAAGACCGCTACATCCGGGTCACTCATCTGCGTGACAGATTCCGCCCAGCGACTCGAACAGGTGCAGCAGTCGTCGGAAGACAAGGACCAGAAAGTGCCAACACCGTAAGACGTCGTCTAAGAGAAGTAGGACTCCGTGCACGACGACCTTATGTTGGAGCTATCCTCAGGGATCAATACCGTTAGCGGGGTTTGACACCAGACATGGAGAAGAGTAGACTGGCAAAGTGTGCTCTTCAGTGATGAGAGTCGCTTTCGTCTTTATCACGATGATGGCACCGATAGAACATGTCTGGGATCACATTGGACGCCGTCTGTATCGGAGACCACGGATGCACACCATTGCTGCTTTAGAAGCTGCTCATATCCAAGAATGGAACAATTTGCCCCAGGCCTTCTTTCAAACATTAGTTAATTCCATGCGACGTCGCTGCACAGCGTGCGTAAGAGCCCGTGGAGGACACAGGCGCTACTGACATCTGTGTCGTACTTTTGGTTTTGACCCCTCTGTCTTTGTACCGTTGATTACAGATTAAACATCCATAAGTGTACAAATGTGTTGTTATTGATGTGTTCCCATTTGAATATTGTTCACAATAAGAAGCAAAATA